ATGGAAGAGAATTGTGTCTCATTGGTGAATTCTGGCCAGCCGAGGAACAGAATTTGAAAGAATGCTTTGTTATCCTCTATTTGAAGGTTGCCTCATAAAGCAAATCTAAATTGAATTAAGTATACACAGGCAGTGAAGTGTTGTAGAAGTAGAAAGCTCCGGATCAGCCAACCTTTATGATGTGAAACGAATTACAGGTGCAATAAACTGCAGCACATTCAAGCAGCCAGAAGGTTAATGAGATAACCACTACAACATCATCTAAATATTAAAACAGTACGTCATGTTCAGTCAGCAAATGTTGACTTCTGTGAAAACAGACTTCTGGATTTACCCATTGTCTTACAAAGGTTTGATAAACTGCTTCTCTAGAGGAGGAAAACATTACGTGGAAAAATTTCTGTAGACATTGCCATCTAAATAGTTCAAAATGTTTGTATGGTCAGCATGCACTTCAAGCATGGGATTGTTTTTCCTTCTGTTCTCCCCAGTACATAAAGAGAGGGAGGGGAGCACTGTGGTAAAGCTGCCTTTCTTTTTTCCTGAACATTTTTACTTCAGGAACCCCACAGCAGCACTGCAGTGCGCTTTTGCCAAGACATCCCTTCCAAATTTCATGTGTAGTTTAAAAAGCTGTAAAATGAGATGCTGAAAACATTACTTTAGAATTAATAAGTCTGTCTTAATTGACTCTGTAGTTGTTGACATAAGCTTAGCTTACCAAACTTGGAAACCTGTTCCAGATCTCAACATGATTACTCTTTAAGATCATGAACAATTAAACCTTACTGCTTCATTGTTCTTTAGCCATTCATGCATTGGGATTTTGGCTTGAAGATAACTGTGTTTTGAGTGTATGTATGCATTAAATTTTAAGACAAGAAAAGCAAATTTCTCTCAGTTCTCAGTAGTTTCTCCTGCTTCAAAAAGAGAGCAACTTCAACTATTTATAAACTGTAATTAAGTTTCTTTACAACATGACTCATTCTCAACAAGCAAATCCTTGTTCTTTTGCTTTCTTATGAACTGTGTGGGAAAATTAGAGTTCAATCACTGAAGAATTTACTCAATGCTTAATTACCCCAAACAGCCCTCCAAGTTCTGCCTCATGTAGAGCTTTCATAAAGATGTGATTTTCCCTGCAATGTGGATCTCTAAAAGTTGACTTTTAAAAAATAGTCTGTAAATTTTTACAAAGAAGAAAGCAGTATTTTGCTGTAGTATTGCCTTCTTTCTCAGTCTGCTTGTTCCTTTGATCTCTTCTCATGTTAATAATGCGATGCTTAGGAAAGCTAAAGTAAGAAATCATTATGATTAAATTACTTAGAGCATGAAACTGAATTAGAAAGCTTTACTTTCCTGAATGAGCTAATGGTTTAAATTTTCCAAAGGAAATGTTTCTATTTCTGTGAGCGAAGGGGTAAATGGGACTTCCTCTGACATAATTTTCACTTTAAAACTGAGTTTGGCAGCAAGATTTTTACCTTCATAACCAAATATTAATGCTTAACTGCACGACTTGTGTAAGCTTGCTAGCTGAAGTGACTCACTTACGTAGATGAAGTTATTTTTAGAGAGATAATTTGCAATGTTTAGAAGAGAGAAAAAGAGAGAGAGAGTCCTACTAAGAGCTCGATCCCTCATTATAGTTTACAGAGCTCGTGAACCCAGCATCTAAGCAAAAGATGACTAAGCAAAGGGTCTATTGGTACTTTCAGGAATTTACAGACATGAGTCATCTGCTTATTTTCTGCAGATATATCACCAGGATACTTTGTGAGTCAGCTGTTATTTGGAAATAGTACTTGTGTTCAACATGAATACATTTTTGTAGTTCTTAAGTAACTGCCATGTCAAACCAAAGCATGTTTTTATAGTTTTTGTCACTTGGCTGTGGATTTACAAAAGTAGTGTGTTGTTTTTAACTGTGATGCGTTTTTCAGGATGAAATCTAAAGGCTGTGTGAGATGTAACTCTGATCACTCTCTCCTTTGCCATGTTAAGTATCACATGGAGACAGGTCTTATTTTGTATTAGTGCATAGGTTTGGAGCCAGATTGTATACATGATCAAATTAAATGAAACATTTACATTATCAGTGTGTGCCACCTCGTAAAGATGTCATTGCAACTATGAGCAGAATTTCACCTTTCATCTTCACAGCACCTTACCTGTGTTGATTGTTAGTGGCATTTGCTTATTTTTGACATGTACTATAGCAACACTAAATCCAAGCATTTTGTACACTTGCAATGTCAGTGGTCTTGCATCCATTGTGCGGGAATTAAGCTCTTGCCTTTATTTCCTACTGCTGAAATAATAGCTGGTTACCTTGACATACATGTAGTACTTTACAACTCAAGGCTATTTCCTGTTTACTTGTCTCTTAGGTGTGGTTGCGTTCCAAAATCAGGGGCAGGGTTGTTGTTTTTTTTTTTACTTTGGTTGGACTCAGCTCACACCTTGTATTAAAGAACTACTTGGGGCAGAAAAAATGGGTGTTTGGCAATTTTAGATGAATAGCAGTGGAAGCAGTCAAATCAAAGGCAGATCAAATTGTTCAAAACTCTGCTTGCAGTCCACTTTAATACTGCTATTAGCGTGATGTGGGATGTGAAGTTTTAATTCTAAATTGATTATATGATCATAGAATCATTAGGGTTGGAAAAGACCACTATGATCATCTAGTCCAACCATCAACCCACTGTCCAACTGTTGACCCATCACATCAATTCATGTAACTGTTTATAATGTGAATGATTCCTGGAAATTCCTATACAGCTTTCGGTTAATAGAAGAAGAAATTCTTTTCTTCCATATTTTGGTGATACCTTTGTTGGATTTATACTCATTTATAAGAATGAAAAGCTTCTAATAAATGGAATTTTCTCTGTTATGGTAGCAAAGTCTTGATTATGCATTTAAACAGTGTTTCTAGTGCTAGATGCTTTCTCTGAAGTGCAAACCTTCTATTTTAACTATCAGGTACAAAAATGCTGCTGTTTGCACCCTTTAGATAGACAAAGGTTTTCTAAGGAAAGGTAACAAAGTCAGAAATTCTCAAGTAAAAAAAGTTAAATGGAAGGACTAAATTATTCTTTGTGTGTGCTACTAAACATTGTTATTCTTTTCACACAGTGACAAAACACAAGCATATGGAGTGGTTTTCCTTTGAGGAGTTGGTGCTTGAGAAGGAAAAGGTGCACTAGAGGAACAGAGTTGAAACAGTGAGAGCTGAAGGAGTATATTTGTCATGTTAAAGCAGAGAGCTTTGCCTCCTATTCCTTTCTGTGGTGAAGTCCTTGAGATTCTGAGACACGCACTTCCCATCTGTGAGGGGAGGAGAGAGCTTGCTTACTGGTAGACAGCCTCAATATGCCAGTGTTTTTCAGGGGTATTACTGAATAATCATGTTACAAAGAGGAATTTGACAGAGTAATCTTGGAGCCTAACCTTTATTACATCAGTGATCTGCCCTTAAATTAGCAGAACTCTGCCCGTGTCATTACTGTTTAAATATCTGCTGGAAGCTGCTGTGTGAGCTGAGTCACCGGGGCTTGGGGAGTTGTCACGTGCAGCTCAGGCACCGGGTCACAAACAGTGTGATCGTAAGTGATTTGTTTTATTTTGAGTCTGCAGCTGGAATATCACATCCAGTTTCGTGTACTTCGTTACTGTGAACTCATTTACTTGTAGAGCTTGGAGAGTAACTTAGGGGAAAGGGGGCTGTGGTTTGGCTGATGCGCATCCAAATATTCAGACGTGGGTAGAAAAAATGAAGGAACTAGCAGGATGATAGAGGGGAACTTAAAAGAAGGAAATCTTTCTTACGCTGATCTCAGTCCATGAACAGTGATCTCAAGGGAAGTGCTAGAATCTCTGTTCCATGAAGCATTTTGAAAGTAGAAAATGATGTATTACCGAGTGCACTGGAGGGGAGATCCTGTGCTGCCTGTGAGTGAGTTCAGGCCTGTCATGTTCCTTTTTCTTTCTTAAAATTCTGTTTGTAGTGATTCTGCTCTTTGTTTTGGTTCCTATTTTGGCTATTGCAGCCTTTTTAGTAACTTGGGTTTTTTTTCCTTCCCTTTAAGAACTACAAAGTGACAAATAGACCAAACATGGAAACCAAGTTTGTTTGAATGAATTAAAATCTTACTAATTTATTTCACTTATTGCGGTGCCAAATAGGAAAAACATCTGAAAATTTACATGGAACTGCTGCACAATTGGAGTATTTTTTCAACTTGGTGATTTCCAGAATTGCAGTTTGGAGGATAACAGAGAGTGTAATCATAGCTACTTTCTAAATGAAGTCTACAACTTTAAAAATACACATTTACCTGTTAGTTTTTGTGTTAGATTAGAATGCAAATGTACAGGAGTGTTGATAATTCCACATTTCTAAAGCCTTCTGAAATTAAATGTAGACCAAAAAATCTTAAGCATAAATACAGCAATGAAAAAGCTAAGCTAAAAAATAGTTTCAGACCACGTTATTAAACTGTTGCAGACCATTTTATTGTTCTGCCAGAGGAAGAGGATCATGAGGCGGTGATAAGCAAAGGGAACTAAAAGGTTCTTATTTTTATTTTTAGTGAGATATTTTTGGTATTAATGACTTTGCAGTGTGTTTTTGGTTTTGTGGGGTTTTTTTTTGTCTAACAGATGACTGAACATTGAGGTCTGTTTTAACTCATGACTGAATCTTTCTGCATCCTTTGTCAAATCATTTAACCACTTGAAGTCTCAGGCAGATAATTAACATAGAAATGCACTGGCTAACCAATTTTAAACTATATTTTATGTGAAAATGCATCGGTAAAGCAGTATGAGGAACTCATAATTTGTAAGAATTACAGAAGTGTATGTTTGAAGCAGTAATCACTTTGTCCTTTTCTATCACCTGTCATCTGCATTCCCTGTAAAAAAAAAAAAAAAACAACAAAACAGTAACACAATGTATGTATTTTTATGACCCTCTTTTATTTTTTTAATTCCAGTTGACCTACCCCTGTACTTTCCTCGAGACCAGCCAACCCTAACCTTTCAGTCCGTCTACCACTTCACTAACAGTGGGCAGCTGTACTCCCAGGCCCAGAAGAACTACCCGTACAGCCCACGCTGGGATGGCAACGAAATGGCCAAGAGAGCAAAGTAAGTCAGCTTGCTGTTTTGTCACATGGTCTTTTGGTGATGGAAATTTCACAGGTGTAACTGTATGCTTCCATCATTCTGCAAGCTAAAGCTGTTTTTGTTGTATAGTATAGTTTTTTGTTTTATAGTATAGTTTTGTTCCTAGTATCCCCCTATATCCAGACAGATACCTTATTAATCATGCTTATAACACGAGTGCCAGAGGACTGATCAAAACAAGATTCTTCTGCTAGGCACTATAGAGACACAGAGTAGTGACAATCTCTGCTCCAAAGAGCTTCCAATCCAAATAGACAAGATAGCCCGCAGCAGGAGTAATCTGCATGATAGCAGTCAGTCAAGGTAGTGCCTTGTGTTGGTGTATGGGGGGACCCTGGAGGGGGAGCATGTGAGATGGAAAGAGGGAGGAAGAAAAACCTGAAAGATGTGCTCTTATAAAAAGGCACAGAAGCAGATAGAGCAAACCAGTAATCCAGCATAGTAGACAGTCCTGCCAGAACTTGAGAAAGTTATCTGAATGTCTGAAGACTTTTTTTTTGTTTCTTTGTTTTTACTTTTCTGCTTTCCATCTGCAGTTTTTTGACAGGCCGTAATTTCAGCACGGGTAAATCCCACTTTGGTCCTAATATCCCTTGTAGTTTAAGGTGACAGGGCAGCGTCTCCAGAGTGATTCTGTTTTAAGGATAAGTTTGTGTGGGCAGCAGTGCTCCTTTTGCATGCTATGTGTTATTTCTGTCTTCTAAAGAAGCTGAAGAGATTTCACCTGGATGGAGCAATATCAGTGGTGGCCTTACTGCTGAATTTAGGGTTTACAAAACAAAAAAATAAAACAACGGCAACAAATTTAAGCAGGCTGATCATCAGTTGTCAGCACAGAAGTCCTCAAAGTGTATAAATAATAAGGCATATCGGAGTTAATGTTTTGACTGACAGTCAGAAGATTAAATTAAATTAGCAAAGATGCATCAATAAGAGTCAAATGAAAATAGTTCAAGCTGAGTAAATCAGATGAATGGCATGGTCAGAGACTGATTGTAATTTGGAAATGATGGAAGCAAATAACAAATGACTGAAGCATTTGCAGATTTTGTAATTTTAATTGTATGGAGAACATCAAGTGACATTCGATTTTGGATTTTGATGCATTGCAGTAGAAATTTTTGAGTTTGATAGTAATTGGTTTTAATGCCGTATTGTCAAGGAGAGCCATTTCTTGATCAAGTGTGATTTGTTTTTGTGGACTTATTGTTTCTTCCTTTTTTTTTTTTTATTGCCTAGCAGAACATTATGTGTATTTTGTTTTGAAGGAAAAGAAACAGTAACTGGAAGCATCAGTGTGGCTTGTTTTTATACTGCAGAAATGCTTGATTGTATAGTCAAAAAAATGCACTTATTTTGCATCTGGAAGCTTACAAGTATCTATGTTCTGTCTGCTAAGTGCATTCATTTATGAGTGGGTGTGTACAAATGGACTTCTCTGCCCTGCACTTGAAATTTAGAAGCACTATAACAGTACTTTTAGAAGCACTAAATGTGTACACTTACTATCACATGTGCATTTTTTGAGGTTATTCGCTCTTACGTTTGAGCCTTTCCATTTAAGCTTTGTACTGGGTACATAATATGAGAAAGATGATGAGAAGCGGGGGAAGAAAGCATGCTGCAGTGTCTGAAATAACCATCACTGAGCTGCAAAGAGACGGAGAAGCTGCTCTAGTTAAAAGCGCTTTGCTTGCAGGAACAGCTAGTGAATCCTGAGCAAGTACCAGAAATAAAACTACAGCAGGAAAACTATGATGTTATAATGCGTGTTAGCATATTTTAAGAAATATTTTTAACACAATTTAGTACTTATGTAAATATTGTCTAAAATATTTTCTGGGGCTTCTTAGAATAGATAAGCGTGTTTCATCACAAACAAAGATTTTTTCATTCTACTTTATTTCTGTCATAGCTACGTTACAGACTGAGTATAAGGGAATATATGTAGGTGTATATGGGAATGTGTTCTAATTAAACATATAGTTCAAACACCAACTCAATTCATCCCCAGTAAAAAAAAGGATATATGACGCAGCCTCTTAAGGCTCAGCCGAAGTAAATTTAGCCCTGGATAAATCAAGGAAAACTTTTTTGTTTTTAAGCGCTGTCTGTTCATTAGGTTTTCCTTAGTATGTTGTCTTTCCCTCTTAGCTGAATGGCTACTCAAGTGCTTGGCATCCTTTGAGACAAAATAACTGTTTATCTTTCTGGCCCTACTGTTCTAGGGACACAGGACCTTCCACTTGATGTTCCAGAGTCTGACCAAATTCTCCACCCTTATTCTCAGTCACTTGAGTGGTCATTTTACACTATTTTCCTCACTGCAGCCTAAGATGCTGTTAAGTTTTTGCTTGCTCTTGCAGCTGTGTTCATTAGCTGTCCAGTCATGTTCTGAGGCGTGTAGACCACATTGCTTTGTAGGGTGTAGAAGCACCACCAATCTCACAGAGATTTCCACATCCTTGGTTGGCAAACCCTGCCTCTGATTTCAGCAGCTGCAGGCAGCCTGCTTATTCATGGGCAGAGCTGTCAGAAGCTCATGCCAAAGGGACATTGATTCTGTGCCCAGCCTTCTCCCAGTTGTTTTTTTCCAACAGGTGAGCCCATCCAATTCCTTCAACTCAGGGGCTAAACTTGAAAGTCTTGGTATCCTTGCTTATCTTCATGGCCTCCGAGCAGATGTAGGCATCTCTTTTGAAGTTAGGACTTAACCCTTTGCTGTAGCCCTGAGACAATCAGTAGTAATTACAAGTAAGGGCAAAATTATTACCCTAAAAAGTATACATACTGATGTAGACTGTATGCATTCTCAGACACATAGCACCTAAATCTAAAAGGCAAATTCTCAAGTCAGAAAATCAGTTTAGCAGAATCTTTTTTTATTCTCATAGAATCGTAGAAAAAGTGCTCATCTTCATTCAGACATGATTGGACCAATTTTTGCGTGTCTGATAAATTTCACGTGATTGAGTTTCTCTGGCTCTTAGGCAGTTTTTAGGCCTAAGAGGCACCTGGCTCCTTTGAGGCTCCTGGCTTAGATTTCTCACTAAGAGATAGTGTTTGATGATTGAAGCTTGCTATTGTCTATGCCAAGGGATTGCCCTCTGGCTTGATTTAATTCTAAGAAACGAATCACGTCCTGGTTAAATAATGTGATTGCAAATGCCTCCTGATTCCTCATTTCTCAACTGAATACTAAAATTTAACCTGTTTCTCCAGCTAGAAACAGCAAAACCAAAAATACTAAGATTCTCTGATAGGCTGCCAAGATACCATTTCCTCCCAGTTCCCATCTCAGGCTCTGCCACTTATAGGTCATTTGTTTATATGGCTGTGGCCTCCTGCGTAAGCAGCTTCTCCAAAAGATTTTGTCCTAAAATACAATGGCAAGCCTAAGAAAATACAGTAAATTATGGAAAGTTAGCAGCCTTGTTTGTGGTGTACGTGTGAAGTAAAACATCTCTGTGCGGTTTCCATGGGAAAGCTCTCTTGTTTTTTGCTTAAATAGGCATTCAAGTGCACATAAATGGAGCCTTTAAAAAGCATGCAGACTCGAAGCCTGGGATTTTATGAAGGAATACTGTAAATAAAGCCTGTTTGTTTATACAAATTAAGTTCAGTTCTTAAGATGCACTCTGGCCCAATTTCTGTCCGACCTAGTTCTGCTCTGTAGACCTAGGTTACAGTTCAGGGAGAGCAAGTTAGGACTCAGTTTATTCTTTTATCCTACATAAATCCACCTACACGTCATTAAAAATAGCAAGAGGTGGAAAACAATAATGTGGTATCACAATAAGCAGTCATTCTCAGGGTTCAGATTCTTTTTCTCAGCTTGGCTGACAAAATTGTTTTCTGAATGACATTATTGTCGCTGGCCATTCATTGGTGTTCTCAGCTTGTGGTGTTAAATCTGCGTATCACTCAATGCTCTGCAAGGGTAAAAGCTTGAAAGGGCTTAAGTACTCTCAAATGTATGTTGGCTGTTGCTCTGCCATAAGGTCAAGCGCAATTTAAGTCTATATGCAGATGCATCTTGCACAAGCTTTCCAAGCATCGTCGGCACTGCTGCAGCTCCAGTTCATGCTCAGCACAGCCACACAATGATCACTGAGTGTCAAGCTGGGGCACTGGGCCGTAGCATTTTCATCCTCATCAATAGCTTTTCCTTGAATACCGTAACATGAGAAGATGTGTGTCATGTGAAGATGCTAGTAGCTATTTGGCTGAGATGTGTTTGCTTTAAGCATTAACGTTCCCTTGTATGGAGAGGAAGTATATCTTTTTAGTCTAATAAAAGAATATTTGAATACAGGGGACAATTTAGGGGCCTAAGGGCCCATCCTCATGTAGTTGCTTAGACGAACTCAGTTGTAATATGTCAAAGGTTTGCTGTTGCATTCAGTATATTTTGAGTGCCCTAGTATTTTTTTTTTAAGTGGCATTCACTTGTTTTTTAACTCATCCATTTTTAATTGAAAATTCTTCCCCATTTTAGACAGAATATCAATGGACACATCTTGCATTCTGTTAAAGTAACAGGTTTATCTTTCCTTTGAAAGAATTGTTCTCTACCTACAGTGACTTGGATCTCACTGTATGAAGTTTACATGTAAACATGGCATCATTTTTGTAATCTCTGCTTGATAGCTATAATTAAGGTAGTAAATCATTTGTTATTATTCATTTTGTATTTCAGTATTTTCCTTGCTTATTTGTAAACATAATACATTTTATTTGCATGTATTACATGATTGCTTCGTGCACATTAGGGATCTTTAAAGAGTGGATTTCAAAAAATAAACTTGCTGGCATCCATGTATGCTCTGCGCAGAAAGCTTTTTGCTTGTCTTTGGCTCTGTTGCACTTTACCTTAAACTTAAAATAAATCTTAGGGGAAAAAAAAAAAAAAAAGAGGAGGAAAAGGAAGCACAACACATAGGGGACCTATCCTTCACTGT